GGCATAGTGCCTAAGGCATTTGACTGCTAATCAGAAGGCTGGCGGTTCAAACCCACCAGCCACTCCTTGGAAGGAAGGTTAGGTAAACCACTTCTGTAGTGATACTGCCTTGGAAACCCAAGGAGGGATTGCTAGGAGTTGGAATTGACTCGATGGCAGTGAGTTTAACAATGAATGAGAAGAAATTGGGGGAGTGAACAGGTTAGGGAAGACTGTGATTGTGAAACGTAGTCAGGACCATGGCTGTGAAATTAAAGGGAGGGCAGTCAGCTGGTTTTATTTTTCTCCAGTTGTGTTGACTGTGTATATATGGTTATTGCATAATTGGAGAGTTGCATATAGCCAGCACTGGGGTTTATCTAGGATCTCTGGTGGTACAGTGGTTAAGGCATTTGGCTGCTAACCAAAAGGCTGGCAGTTTGAACCTGCCAGCTGCTTTGGGGGAGAAAGATGGGACAGTCTGCTTCAGTAAAGATTTACAGCCTTGAAAACCCTATGGGGACATTTCTTTTCAGTCCTGTGGGGTTGCTATGCAGTAGGTTTGATTTGGTTTGGGGGTTTTATTCAAGTGAATTGTGTTTTCTCTTTACACATACAGTTGGTTATTTAAAGGTTAGTTGTCAATGATCATGAATAGTGAAATCTCTTGGCAAGAGAGTATAAGTATTGGAGATTTAGACCTGAGACTGGAGACTTAACACAATAAATTCTTGCTCCTACCCTGCTGAAAGGAACCTTTTGTGGTTTTCAGATCTCTGACTACATGATGCTGCCTGACACAGCCACCCTGTCAGAACGGCTTCGAGTATGTCTGCAGGAAGGCGATGAGAACCCACGGGACTTTACCACCCTCTTCGACCTGTCCATTTATGAGCTGGATACCACCTCCCTCCCCAAGGTCATCAAGTCAGTACCTGTGGCTCTAAGCAGCACCTGCACTCCATTTTGAGTGTTTAGTTTGAAAACATGAGCCTGGAGATGGGAGTTAAGGTCACAGCAGATGTGGCATGCAAAACATGTACTCAGACCTGTAATGAGGTCAACAGGCACAGGTGGTAAAACGAGGGGGGAGGGGAAGAAAGCAGGGAGTTCATGCCAACAATTATTAGTCCTAGCTATGTTCCAGGCTTTGTACCAGGCATTTAGGGTGATCAGTTCATTCCTAGTTTCCTATGACTTTCCAGTTTTACAACAGAAAGTTTCACATCCCAGGAATGTCCTCAGTGAATTGGGCTGGTAGTTCACCCTACAGGGACCCTACAGGATTTAATACTGTCACCAGTCCTCTGAGTTACCAGCCTCATTTCCAGATGGGGAAACTAAGGTCTAAAGAAGGGTTCTTCAGGCCATTACTTTACTTTGTTTTACTTCCTGCTTTGTTGTTGATGTGGTTTTCCATTGCTAATGACAGCAACAGCAAGTGACATTTTTGAGCATATTTGGTGTGGCCTGAGATCTGTATCATCTGTGAACCAGCATCTAAGGGCACAGCTGCAGATGATTGTCTGACCTTCTCCCCCCTCTCCCGCCCGCCCCCTTACATTCAAACTCAACAACTACTTAGCATCTTTCCGGCCAGATGCTGAAGCATGTGGTTTTATGACAGAGACAGACAGAAGTTGTGATACAGAGTTATTACATAAGTGTTAAATGTGAAGCATAAAGTAGATATGGGCATAACGAAGAAAGGGAATTTGGTTGTTACTGGGGTGGGCAGAGAAGGCTTTATGAAAGAAGTGCCATTGATTATTCCAGTGTTTCTTTGGGGCCCTGCGTCTGCTTGGTACAGTGCTGGCTGCTGAGTTTGAATGAGTGAGAAGGATTTTAGGAGATGAGTGGGGAGACTGGGAGCAAGCCTTCTGCAGTGAGGCCGCTATATGAGTGAAGTCCCAGCCAGTCACACACGCGGGGTGGGTCTAGTCGAGGGTGCGGCCTGAGGGGCAGGAGCAGGGCTAGAGCAGCAACTTGATTGAATCTGTGTTTCACAAACTGTAGCAGTTCATACAGTTAATTAGAATAAGAAAAAAAATAGGGTGAAGAAACCAGTCAGGAGACTATTGCTACAGACCAGGGGTGTTGAAAAGGTGGCCCTGATAAGAGTACTAGCTGTGGTTTAAGGACAAAGGATCTATAGGGCATGAGGCCTGGCAGGCTGTGATGGAGAAGTCTAAGAGGGAACTGGTGATGCCATTAAGCTGGCACCGAGAGTGCAGGAGAGGGAAGATAAATGAGTTCTCTTGTGGACAGTGACAGTCTAATGGCCTGAGAGATTTCCCTGTGAGGATATATAGGTGGAACTACTAGCTTAGAGATGAAAACTAGATAAACCAGTTAGCGAAGCTATGGGAAGGACTGGGGAAACAGAGTCCGTACTAGAGTGGGGACTGGGCTAGAGACAGACCTGGCAGCTGCCAGTACCCGAGAGACAGGAGAAGGCCTGTGACAGAAACTGGGGAAGAGCAGCTGGAGGCATGGGACAGTGCCTATGGGGAGAGTGTCCAGAAGCCGGGGGAGAGGGACTGACTGACAAGGAAAGTGGCATGGCCAGAAAGGGGTCATGAGTACGACTTTCCCTTTTATGACCGTTAGGTGTCACTTCTTAGTTTGTTCAGCTAGTATCCTTTCCCACTACACTGTAAACCTGAGGGCACGAGCTATGCCTTGTTCGAGTGTGAAGCCGCAGTGCCTGAGGCAGAGCCCAGCCCTTGGGGCATCCAGTAAAGATGCATGGAATTCATGAACATGCTTCCACCCTCCCTCGGCATGCTGACCATCCATCTGATCACTCCGGTGCCGGGGACTGTCGTAGCCTCTTTGGATGATTCAGGGAATTAAAGCAAAAAGCTCTGCCCTTTAGGACCTAATTTTCTAGGAGGGGAGATAAGCAGTTTCTATATGATACTCTATTTTTATTTCCTAGTAACTTCTTGTGAAAGCAGTTTCTCTCTTTGGAGTAAAGAATTAGTTAGGCTTTAAATACTTGTTAGCTATAGCGTGTGGCTCTGAAGTAGCTTCCCTTGTCCAGCCACATTTTCCTGTTGATACCTGCTGGGTGTGAGGTAGCATTAGACTAGAGCCCCTGCCCTCAAAGTCCATGGTCAGGTGGATTGCAGGTTGAGGTATGGGTTGGTGAAAATGCAGCGCCAGAGGCTGAGCCCAGACTGTTCTAGAAATACATCACTCAGCCCCATTTCATAGATTTGTATTGCACTTTGGCATTTAGTCTTCTTTTCCAAACAGGTCCACCTTCTAAATTAAATTTTGCTGGACTTTAAGATTCATTTCTTCCCCCACTTCCCCCATCAAGCACACGCTGGCTGCTGGCAGGAGGAAGCTTCGGAGGTGTGCTGAGTGAAGCATCTGCTTCAACAAGTTCAGCTCCACCTGGGCGAGAGCAGACCATCGTGGCGGGGATGGCCAGAGCAGCAGGATTCTTTGTGCCTAGATGGTGGGGAACTCGAGTTTAGAGCCACTTCTCAGGCCCTTCTGCCTTCTGAGTAGGCTGAGCCCTGGGGCTTCTGGTTGGCAGGGACTGGTGAGGTCTGAGTTCCGATCGTGCCTCTGTCACTTCTCAACCGTCTGACCTTGTGGCGCCATCAGAGCCTCTGTACCTGTAAGAGAGTACACCTACTTTCCGGTTGGCTTTGAGGGTTAAATAAGTATGAGTGCCCAAGCCACAGGGTCAAGCACAACATGTGGCAGACAGTAGGTGCTCAGTATAAGCATTTCCCTCCTTGAGGATCCTCCACTCATCCTGAGATATATCCTCCCACGCATCTGGCCGTAGTGGAGGAGATGGCAGCAGGAAACTCAGCAAATAACCTTTCTGCTGTCACAGACCTCACGCCTTTCGTTTTCCCCTCACTTTTCTGAAATCACTGGTACATAGATCAAGACCCTGGTAGGAATTTTATCCACACCCTTGGCATTTGCTTTCGCTTTAATTTTGAAAGATCATGAATGTATTTTAATTTGCCCCATTCCCAGAGTTGTTCAGCCAGCTTACAAAAACAAGTATAATGCAATGCACTGCTGTCTAGTCGGATCCAACTCATAGCGACCCCTCCTTGGGTTTCCGAGGTGGTATCACTACAGAAGTAGATTGCCCAACCTTCCTTCCGAGGAGTGGCTGGTGGGTTTGAACCTTCAGCCTTCTGGTTAGCGGTCAAGTGCCTTAGGCACTAAGCCACCAGAGCTCCTAAGTATAATGCAAAAGGATAAAATGAGTATCTGAGAATGAAGGCAAACGGAAAGCCACAGGAGAACAGTGGCGGGGTAGGACAAGCATTTAAATGCTCTAAACTCATTCCCGTGCTATAAACACTCTGGCTGCCCTGCTGTTCTTTGACCCTCTGCCGGTCGTCCTGGCTCTTGCCTCTGCCTTGAGCACTTTTGAGGCAGCAAAGAGGCTCACTCCTCCCTTTACTCTCTGACCAGCAGCACTCCCTGCCCCCTCCCAGTCTGTATCCTTGCCTCCTGATTGTTTTTTCTTTTTAGCACTTCTTAATACCTGGCATCTGGCCTTTTGTTTGTTTGCTCATTGTGTGTCTCTTCCCCACTAGAATGTAAGTTCCACTAGGGCAGGGACGGAGACTCTCTTTTCCTACTGCTGCTTTAATTACTCCTTGTGGGTAAAACTGCCTGCTACAGGAGATACAACCCACTGCCCTTGAGTCAGTTCTGATTCACAGGTGCCCTATAGGAAGACAGAACTATTTACAGAAGTAAATTGCTACACTGTTCTCCTGCAGAGTGGCTGGTGGATTCAAACCACCAACCTTTTGATTGGCAGCTGACCACTTTAACTACTGCACTACCAGGACTCCTTGCATATCATACAGGTCTGTTCAGTGACCAGAAGCTGACTTCAGATTGACTCGTGTTTCTTGATGGTGAAAACAGACACTCACAGCAAGTTACAAGATTCAATCCCGCTGAGCAACACAGAAAGCCTATTTAGGAGATGCCTGATAGGAAACTTGAAAAAACTTTTTCCTTTGAGGTTCCAATAAAGTAATACTGTGACAGAGTGGAGTAGATCCCTGGCAGGACTGCTACAGTAGCTGTAACAACACATTGTGTCTTTTTCGGTAGTAGTGCTTAGCCACGTTTGACAGAGAACCACAGTATGCATGGTCAGTTAGACATGCTTTATCCCTGCATCTCACCTTGATCCAGGCTGTTTTGTTTTGTTAACACAGGGCTCATGAACAGCTAAATGTGAAACATGAACCTCTGCAGCTTATCCAACCTCAGTTTGAGACACCGCTGCCAGCCCTGCAGCCAGCTGTGAGTAGGTGTGCCTGGGGGGACCCCACCGTTCACCCTTACTTTGCCAGCTAGGCCCTTCACTGTGAGCTTGTCCATATAGAAAGCTTATACAAGTGAGTCACATTTCATTTACCTGCCCGAAGGCTAACTTCAGACTTTAATCCTAGTTTAAGCTGACACTGATACCTTGTTTAATTGTTAACATCGACTGAGTTTATTAAAAGTTACAGAATGGAGCCAACTCTGGAGGCAAGCAGGTACCCTTGAGATAGTGCCACCCTTTCTCCATTCCTTGTTGGGGTCTAGGTTGTTACCCAGGTGGTTTGGGTACGTAGTTTCTTGCCTTTCTTGTTGTATTCTTATGTATGAGCTGGGTGGTTCTCAGACTTCTAGTCTGCACAAGAATGAGGTTTCAAGGCTGTAACATAAAACTGTGGTTTGTATACTTTCATTGATTACTTAAAGGATTTTTGAATAATCCTTTACATGGTTTTTACTTTCTGTGCTGAGTGGCTGCTCAGATACTCCCAGAAAGAGGAGATTCTGACCAATGACTAGTTGATGGGGATGGGTGAGTGGGTGGGGCTGGGACCATGGGACAGCACTGTGCTGGACACTGCATTTTAAACTGAGCTGGTCATCAGTGGTGAGGATAGAAACCCTATGTATGGACTACCTTGGTTTTGTAATGGAATCTGCTGGTATTTATACTAAAAATTACTGTGATTTTATAGGAGAATAATATTAACATGTATCCCATGCTTTACAGGGTATAGGGAGTTCTCATATTTGTTATCATATTTATTCTTCAAAATAATCTTGTAGTTGTTATTATCCCTGTTTTACTGATAAGGATACTGTGTTTGCCTGTTGTCACATAGCTAGCAAGTGTTAGAACTGGTTTCATACCAGTGAAACACTAGACCCAGTTTATGTTGGTTTGTAAGAGTTGACTGTTAAATTTTCAGGAATGCTCTGAGCCAGTTGGCTTCATCTTGATAGTTTGAAATTGGCCCTGGAAGGAGTATTTGCATCACAGAAATTGGCAAATGCTACATATCAAGTTGTTTGTTTCTTTTGAGGGCTGGTGGTAAAACACTTACTGGCACACTGTTGGGTCACACTATGAATTCTGACTCCAATGTTCGCACTTTCTATTTAATCTACATCTGCCTGCTCAGATAATTTCTGTGCCTAAAGAATTCATGAGGAAGTAAGAAACAAGTTGTATAATCAAATATTTAACACAAACCTAAGACCTAAGCTTTGCACCCTTGAGCTAATTGGCATATCAGGTCAGTCAGTTCATTGGTATAGTTAGAGCTAGTTCTGCTTGGTTGCTTACCATGGGCTAGTAGTCTTGCTTGGTGTAGGGCTAGAGGAGCTGATGGGAGTTCAGGGTGGTTTGTCCCAGGGGAAGGGTCGAGGTGGTTCTCTCTTGTCCCTTATGTCTCATCACTGTCAGCTGTGGCCTTGGATAGCTCTTTCATATAAGATCTTATTTCCTTTTAGGTTTTCCCTCCTAGTTTTAGGGAATTACCACCTCCTCCTCTGGAGCTGTTTGACTTAGATGAGACGTTCTCCTCTGAGAAGGCACGGCTTGCTCAAATTACTAATAAGTGTAAGTTTGGACAGTTTGTCTGTTTTTTTGGTGTGAGGGGTTTTACCTATTTGTGACCTTATGAGTAGGAGTATAAAATTAAAATTTTTGTTCATTTCATGTGTATGATGGTGCTTGTTTTTCTTGAGGACAGTTAGTTCACTGGGTTAGAATATGGTGCTAAGCAGAAGTCAAAGATGTCACCTTTAATCCCTGGAAATCCTTACTTCTTATCTGCTGAGTGACAACAGGATGAATCCTGAGCCCTGGTTGGCCACTTAGCAAATCTGGGTCATTGGTCATAGGAGCAATTAATTAAAAAACTGAGTCAAAGTCAGACAGATGATAGATTCCAAACTGAAAAGAATCTTGAGAGGCCAAGGCTTTAGGAAATGAGCCTCAAGCCAAACAGCTACATGGTGAGTGTTCTCTTGGCTCTTGGCCTAGTGCCCTTCCTGTCCTGCACTGCCTCCAGTGCAGCAAATGGGCTGACACACATATAATCAGAGGCATAAACTGTCCATCCACTTCGAAGCAATGATCCCACTCCTGGGAATCTAAGGAGATGACTGAAGATACAGAGATGATTACTACATTATTTATTAAAAATAAAACTGGAATAGCCTTAGTGCCCATTAGCAGAGGAATGCATAAGTTCTGTCACCATCAGTGGGATAATATGCAGTCATTATAAAAGACAGAATCATAAATGAAGAAAGCACGATACAAAACTACATGCGCAGGAGGATCCCAAGTACATAAACCACATCCATATGTGGCCAAGGACCAGAATGGGCTATGCAGAAAGGAAAAGAGTTCAGTGCAAAAAACCTTTGCTGAATCCGTTCTGTGCCAGGCATTGTGGTTGCTGCTGGGCAGTCCAATATTAGCAAGACGTGACTAGTCCAGCAGGATTATAGGCATGTAAAGGACCAGATGCTTTGACCCAGCATTTCTACTACTAGCAGTTTATCCTACAGAAATCCTTGCACAAATGCAAAAAAAAGTACAGATGTTATTTATAGAACTTAGAAACTTGGAAACAGCCTAATGGTTCACATATCCGGGAAAAATGTGAAATTAATAGAGTATTATTAAAAATCTATTAAAAGAAAGATGTAGAGCGTAAGTTTTGCTGTGGAATGGTGTCCATGACACAGTGTTAAATGGTGAAGGCACCTTATAGAACCATTAGTTTGATCCCATTTTGATGAAAACTTGATTTTATACGTGTATGCATGCAGAGCATAATTGCCCTAGGTGAGATTTGGGGTGGAGCTAGGTAAGAGATTGTTGCATCTATCTAGTTAGAATATCTTAATAAATACATTGTATATCTACTATACTTTTTTTTTTAAATGCAAATCAGAGGAGAGAAAAAGAAATTGCAATATAGTATAGTATAGTAGGCCAGTAATGGTTGTCCGTCCTAGATACAGAGTGTTAGAATTGTACTGTTGTAACAACACTTTTAAAACACACAAACAAACCCATGTGCTCTTCTCCTAGTGGTCCTTGTTGCATTCAGAGCAGAAGAAACTGATTTCCTCCTGGCTGCTCCTGTTCTTTGAGTGCTGGGTGTGAGAATAGGAGAGCTGGGCCAGTCCCAGTTTATTCTCATTAGTAGTGTTACACTTTTGTCCTGATTTACAAAAGCAGCCTATTAGAAGTCTCTAGTTTTGTCACTGTGTTAAGACCTGTCATCACATCACCCTAGGAAGAGGCAAGTGGTCTTGGATGCAGGGACATGGCAGAAGATCTCTAAAAACATAGGAAGTCTGCACTTTGGGGAAGGTAGACAGCAAGTGTTAATCTAACTACCTTGACTACTTAGGTACTGAAGAAGACCTGGAATTCTATGTCAGGAAGTGTGGTGACATTCTTGGAGTGACCAGTAAATTACCAAAGGACCAACAAGATGCCAAACACATCCTGGAGCACATCTTCTTCCAAGTGGTGGAGTTCAAGAAATTGAACCAGGTAGAGAGCCTACGAGGCCCACTGTAGTGGGTGCGTCATCTATAAACTGTAGTCCTCATGTTTTATGCCATTTATTCTGCAACTGTTCAGTGAGTATCTACCACATGAACAAAACAGACCACAATCCTTGCCCTTGTGGAACCTGTATTCTAGCTGGAGGGGACACACAGTAAACAATAAACATATAAGTAAATCAACAGTATACTAGAAGGTGGTAAGTGCTGTGGCATAAGAAACGTAGAGCAAGGTAAGAGGGATCAAGTGTGCTGAATGTGGTGGTGACTGGAGAGTTGTAGGGAGTGTGGTATTCAATAGGGTGGTTAGGGTAGACCCCCTGTGAAATTAATACTGGAGCAAAGACTTGCAGGTGATAGCTGGGGGAGGACTGTTCCAGGCAGAGGGAAACCTGTGCAAAATCCCTAAGGCGGGATGGTCTGTCTCTGGAAGGTTCGAGGAACAGCAGTGATGCCAGTGTGGCTGGAGCAGTAGAACTTGAAGTCAGTATCTTATGTTAGAAATCCCTTCTCTAGACCAAGAACCAGAAACTTTAAAACTATACCTGACCTGCCTTCTTCCTATCCCTTGACAGGATTTCTAAAATTAAATGCCCAGTCAGTGTTGTTAAGTGGTCATTCATACTCTACGGATGGGTGAATAAATTGGTTCTACTTTTCTGAGGATTTCTTTTTGTAATATTTAGAAGCCCTAAACATGTATATACTTTTGACCCAGCAATTCCAATGTTTAGAATTTGTCTTAATATAGTCCTAAATGTATGCAGTTTATCAGTTAGGATGCTTGCTGCAGCACTCCTTTTCAAAAAATCTTTATCTTCGAAACCAGAAGAACTAGATAGTGCCTGGTACCAATGCCAACCACTTGAGAAGGGATAAAAACTGGATATCCTGGATAGAGTGGGAGAAAAAACATGGAACAAAATCCAAAACAACAATAATGACCAGAATTACTGGTTGGATGGAGTCTGGTGGGACTCCCAAGGGCTGGCTCTCAGTCCAATAGTAAATAAGACATACATGTAGACCACTCAACCCAGGGTGATGCACCCACATACTCTATGGAGATACATCCCTTCGAGAATTGACCACGGGGCACCAGAGGGGCAACATTCGTGTGGAGGAAAAGCAGGACACACAGGAGTGCATAACTATGAAGGGCACCAGAGGGAAGTTACTGGGAGGGAGAGGAGGAGAGTGGATTAGGGTTGGGGATGGTATTGGTGAGTGAAACCAAATGTACATGCAGTGTTGAATGTAAAACAAATTCTCTGTAAATCTGCACCTAAAGCACAATTAAAAAAATAATAACTTTACCAGTAGGAAACTATACTGAATGATGTACCTTAAGTAATTTAAAGTACATCTATAACAAACTGCTGTATGGAAAGTGAATTTGCTCTGTAAATCTTCACCCAAATCACAATAAAAACAAACAAACAAATAAATAAATAAAGTATATCCATAACATAAAAAAATGTTTTAGAAGAATCCTTAAGAACTTGGGAAGACATCATAATATATTAAATGGGGAGAGGGGGAAGGCTATAAAACAGTATGTAAAGAGAATCCATTTTTCTTAACAAAACATATATACATATATAACATTAATATAATATATACATATTATACATATATAGTGAAAATAACAGAGATACTCAAATGTGTAGTATTTCAGTGTTTTTTTTTCCCTCTCTTAAAACTTCTATAATGAATATTGTGTCATACTTTGGGAGGAAAAAGAGGGTTTTTTTTTTTTTTTATGTAAACAGGCAAAATATAAGCTTAGGAATTTTGAAGCTGAGTGTAAAGACCAGTTTGCATAGGATCCTCTACTGGAAGGGGATGGCTTTGCAGAGTCTTCGTTGGCTAGTGTTTCCTGTGCACCTCTTAGGTGCCAGGCAAGTGTTGGGGCTACATCAGTGAACAAGATGAATGTAGTCCTTGTTCTATGTCAGAGCTATGTCTTACGTGGGCGGGAGGGGAGGGAGAACAAAAGTGTATGGGCTGTTACAATGCTGAGAGATAGGTGTCATGAAGGTGCTGTATGGGGGGGGACTGTGGGGAACCCAGAGGCAAGGTATTGCTGTGGCTGTTCAGCACTGAAATGTGGGTTAGGGGCTAGGGTAGATTCCTAACAATTTAACCCTGGTAGCATGGCTGGACAGGGCCCCCAAGGCTAGGGTGAGAAATCTAGTGTGGTCCTTGAACCAGTGCCTTCAACTGTATTTGCTACTTAGGGTGTTGCTATGAGTTGGAATCAACTCAATGGTAGTGGGTTTGGTTTATCATGGTGGGTGGTGGCCCTGTCCTGGTAGTAAACACTGGATTCAGCCTGAGAGCCAGAGATGACATATGTGCTCCAGCTAAGGGTGATTAAAAATCTCTAATCAAAGTCCAAACACGAGTTCCTGTTTTAGGCTTCATTTCAAAATACTAAAATTCTGTGTCTTATTTTCCCATCCAGGAACATGACATTGACACAAGTGAAACAGCATTCCAAAGCAGTTTCTGAGGACTACACCTCTGGAAGCATTTTCTGCCTCCTGATTCTCTTTGTAAACTATTTTTTAAGTTTTCCTCAACTCCTTACCAAAATTGTCTATACATTCTTCTATAAGCCTTGAAAAGTGGGAACTTTCTGTAGTGCTCAGATAGGTATAAGATTTCTAACTTTCAAAATCCTTATGTAAAATAAATTCTTTTTTTTTTTTTTATTAAACCTATGATTGAATCTGTACTTTTATAATTTATGAGTGCCTTTCATTTGAAGCACTTCGGTTTAACTCCAGTTCTGGATTTGAGCTGTTTTTATCCAAGATATAAATAATCCTCCAGCTTGTTGCCAGCATTGCACAGCTTTTGGGATTGTTAAAAAAAGAAACTGGAAATGCACAACAGTATACTGAACTGTACTGGGAATCAACTTTGGGGAACCCTGAGGTCAGAAGAAGAGAGCTGAGCTACTGAAGGTATGTGTAAGGGATGTGGTGCAATGTGAATAGCTTAGCCGGTGGCTTCTGTAAGGATGGGAACGGAAGAAGACCATCTAGAGAGAGTGGTATAACTCCATAAAGAAGTAACAGTGAGGTAGACTAAGGTGCCGCTGTAGGAAAGGTGGCATTTTAAATTGACCTGGTCTGGGGATAAAGGCCAGATTGGCAAGACTTTGAGCTGGTTGTCTGGGACAGTGGTGGAACTACTGGTGGATGGCAGGGGTAGCTTGGAGGGTGAGCTGTTTTGCAAGGTAAGAGTCCAACATTACATTGATGTCTTGAGTTTGAGATGATACCAATTCATGCTAGTTGAAAGAACGAAATACCTGAGGATTTAAAAAGATGTCACATCTGAAGATCTGAGTTTTTCACATGACATTAATTGAAGCCATGAGAATAGCTTCTCAAGGAATAACACTTTTAAAAACATAAAACTTTGGGAAGAAAGGCTCAAGTCAAATCCTAAATTTCAAAGTGTTACTCATCTTAAAGCTTCCATTATAGGTTTCCATTCTTACATACACTCAAGCTCTCGTCAGAGTAGCCAGCCAGGGCAGTGTTGGGGAAAGGGAGGTCCCTATGCTCAGAGGGCAGAGTCTGAGGGTCAGTTGAGAGATAAGCAGCGATAGAACTGAACTTTGAGGAGTACTGCATAAGACTGTATTTTCCAAACATGGATTCAATAATTACTTCTCAACCCATATGGTCTTCTCTTACAGTGTGGCTTTGATGCTCCTCCTATTGAGAGGTGAAGTCTGTATTCCCTTCACCTGAATCAGTTTGGCTTAAGGTTAGATCATAAAAGGCTTACAGATTTTGTCTGGTTCTCTTGAGACACCTTTTTTGACATAAGCCTCCATTGACGAAATCCAAGGAATTTGGATGGAAAAGCCATGTGTACATGTTCTGGCCAAAAACCAGAGGTCCCAACATACATACATCAGCATTACCGACCAAACATCCTGCTCCTAGCCATGAAGTCCTCGCAGCCTTTGAGACCTCCCAGCTGAGGCCTCAGACATAATGGAGCAGAAACAAGTTATCCCTGTTGCATCCTTCCTGAATTCCTGGCTTAAAATCCTCAAACACAATACAGGCAGTCCTCAGTTACAGGCAGTCCTCAGTTACAGACATCCGACTTAAGGATAACCCCTACTTGCCTTTTAACGTTACTTTGAGATGCTTGAACCAACCCCCTACTCGCAATACATTTGTCATCACCATCACCCTCACTACTTGCTGCACATGCAACTTTTAAATCACAGAAAAGGCTTCAAGCTTCTTCTTGCACTGAAAACCAAAACCAAAACAAACAAAAAAAAGAGGCCAAACTCACTGCTGTTGAGTCAGTTCAACTCACAGCATCCCCTCCTTGGGCTTCCAAGGCTCTACGGTAGCAGATTGCCCAGTCTTCCTTCCGAGGAGTGGCTGGTGGGTTTGAACCACCAGCCTTCTGGTTAGCAGTCAAATGCCTTCGGCACTATGCCACCAGA